AATTCAGCATAGAGAGAGAGAGAGAGAGAGAGAGAGAGAGAGTAGCATCAGACTAATTTCATCAGTTTAATCAAGCCAATTCTTCACACTAGAATGAGGTCTGAGGTTGCTGTAGCGAGGCATGAATACTCCAACATATATATGCCTGACCTCCTGAACTGCACCATATCTCATTAACAGCTTTCATGAGGATAAGGGAAGCTGTACTGTGGGCTTTACAACTCCCTTCGTTGGACAAGAGAGGGACTGTGCAGATTAATCAGGTGGACTGCAGAGCCATTCTGTCTGCAGTACTGAGGAAGGGTTTACATAATAGAGCCAAATTCACTACTAAATGAAGCACTTGACTAGTTCAGAGTGTATGAAGGGTGAACCAGGAGCTCTCTCGACACAAAATGAAAGAGGGACAGAAGGAAGAAAGAGGTTGGAGAGCATTAAAATCAGTGAAGAGTAAATGTAAGTATGGGTTAGATCACCGGTATAGTCCTTTGGTTCATGATGATAAATTCCTAGACATGACAAAAACTGCACTGTATCTCAAAACCTAGCAATCTGGACTGAAATCAATTTGGATCATGATACTGCATGTTGGCATGACAAATCTGAGCTGAAGAAGTAGTTTTAGCATTATTTGTATGCTCAGCACACAGCCTGTCCAAGACGCTCTCTCACATCTGTGTAGAGCATAAAGAATGATATTGATCCCTCATGCAGGTCCTGCAGGACCCCCTAGGGCCCATCTCAACCTCAACCCCATATTTATACACACGGTATACTGACTCTAGCTAGGCAGTTCGCCCTGGACTACAGCGTCAATGCAGTGTAACACAAAATAAACCACATCCATGAAATGAAATCAACGGGGTGGCCTTTGTGTGAAGGTTGTTCTCATCGTCTCCTACAGCTCTGCCTGCTGTTCAGTGCGTCCTGAAGACCTTTCGCAGGCCAACAACCTCTCCATGGAGTAAACAACAATGCTATGTGGCAAGCATGCAGCCATGTTATGTAACAGGGCCACTGTGGGAACACACACACACACACACACACAACTGCAACCACAGACAGGAATGCAAAGGCAGGATCTGGATGGCTGGTGCAGTCTGGTAATGTCTCAGTGTTAATAAGGTTTTAAATATATTCCACTTGGAATGTTGTGGAAGACCAGCAACACACACACACACACACACACACACACACACACACACACACACTCCAAATAAATGCACATTACATTAAAGATTAAACATCAAACCATCACGTTTAAAATGCAGTAATAAGGAAGGTCAGTATGAGGGTTTCACTTGATCTGTGCTTGACACTCACCTGTGTCGTAGTGTGAGCTGAAGGCAAAGCTGGGGTTGAGAAAAACCGAGGACATGACCACGATCAAGAGCGACGATGGCATCCTCCTGGGCAGGCTTGATGGAGCTGTACTGCGGTACTTTATATTAACATTAACTCTTAAACACTGTCGTACTGAAAGCAATGACAGGCAGCAGTGAAGGTGAAGTCAGATGCAGCATTTTACTCGTCACGGTGTCACACATCAGACTCGAGCGCTGGAAACCTTTTCCCGTCCTCTCTGTTCTCTGCCTTAATAAACGCACTCACACGTTTGATTGACAGGCCGCTTTTCCCGCGCATTTCCCCGTGCTTTCCTGCTTTATTACGTTAGATGATGTCCCAGTGTTCTCTACGTGTGTCTCTTCAGCGACACACTGGTCCTCTGCGTCCCTCTTCGTCCCTGCACCAATGCTTTGGCCGTCGTCCAGCCCCGGTGCTGCTAAAGTCTGAGTTTCCTGTGCGACATGTTCATTTGTGCCCAGCGCTGGAATGCAGCATCAGAGCTATTAACAGAGTCCAATCTGCTGCTCGCATCAGTCAGTTAATAACACCGCTTTATTATGCGTCTCTTAATAGCCTGGATGCGGAGCAAAAGGTGGTCGAGTTGACAAGTGCGCCCTCTGCCGGCGGAACCCTGAACAGCACTGTGCGTCAAGAAGGTCCAGAAAATGTGATTTAAGGCTCGTGTTTGAGCAGCCATTGTACGACTATAGGTAATAACAACAATACCACTAATAATGATAATAAGTGGATAGCACGTTTGCCTCACACCTCCAGGGTTGGGGGTTCGATTCCTGTCTCCACCCTGTGTGCGTGGAGTTTGCATATTCTCCCTGTGCTTCGGGGGTTTCCTCCCGGTGCTCCGGTTTCCTCCCCCAGTCCAAAGACATGCATTGTAGGCTAATTGGTGAGTGAATGTGTGTGTGTGTGTGTGTTCGATTGTGCCCTGCAATGGGTTGGCACCTAATCCAGGGTGTCCCCCGCCCTGAGTCCCCCGGGATAGGCTCCAGGCTTCCGCTGACCCTGTGTAGGATAAGTGATACAGAAGATGGATGGATGGAATAATAATACCCCAGCTAACAATTGGTTTCTAGAAATTTTGGCTTTCTAGGAAAGTTTTGTTTACCGAAATAGTGCATATAACATTCTTGTTTCGTTGTGCATTATACTTCAGAGAATGATCCCTTATCGTTCCCTTAACTTTTAAATAATTTGAACCTTGCACTAATCCGGGATGGTTTGGAGGACATTCCCCTAATGTTAGGGGAACATTCTCTAAACAGTATCCTAATACAAACATGTTAATATACTGATACAAACCCTTACATTTCTACAAGCCAGACACATTTGCTTTCCAATATAACAAACTACATTAATACATACTGTATATGATGTATATACAATGAATAGATCATATATATTGCCTAGACAGTGGGTAGCACTGCCACCTCCAGGGCCCCTGGTTCAATCCCGAGCTTGGGTTACTGTCTATGTAGAGTGTCACATATTCTCCCCATTTCCACAGGGGTTTCTCTGGGATTTTTGGTTTCTTCCCACCTCCCAAAAACATGCTAGCAGGTGAATTGGCTATGCTAAATTTCTGCCTTGCATTCAAAGTTCCCGGGATAGGCTCAGGATCCACCCCAACCCTGACCAGAATAAAGCGGTTACTGAAGATGAATGAAGGAATGAATTATACATTTACATTTGCACATTACATTATATACATTACATTTCACTGATGCTTTTTTAGACTGGTAGTACTCTTAGTCTGTGACCTGGTGAACCAGTATCAGGATGGATTTATTAATAGAGACTTTAAAGCACTTCTGTAAGTCGCACTGGATAAGGGTGTCTGCCAAAAGCCATGAATCTAAACGTTTATCTAAACTGACTTTCAACTGATACAGGATACAAATGAGCAGGTAAGGATTAAGAGTCTTGCTCAAGGACCTACAGCTTGGCGGTGCTGGGATTTATAACTCACAACCTTCAGATCAGTCTCAACAATTTTGGTTTTTGTTCCTTCATTGCAGGACTTTATCTGTCCCCTGCTGAATGAACACTCCTAATGCTCGATCATAGACAAGTTATTTGAAAAATAAATAAATAACACAATAAGGCAATTAGAACATCATTTATTGCTCAGTTTGTTGTTCAATTGTTGAATCAAAGTGTTAAATTAAAAAAAGAAAACTTGCCAACTGGCAAAGATGGTCTACCAGTTTGTTTGACCAGCTCAGCCTGTGTTTTGGGAGCTGGTAGCTTGTCAAACCATGCTATATTTTTCAGCAGTGACACACTACCACTCAATAGCTTTACTCTTTATTCCTTTAGTGTAAAAATACTTGTGTGTGAGATTAGTATTCAGTAAAAATCACCTTTGCATTTATTTCTCAACTATGTGGTTTTTAGGGTCATTCCTATACTGATGTTCATTCTGTTTCTTTTAAATGATTCAGTGAATCAATTCCAAAGCACAAACTAATAATAATTATTATAAACAATCACAATCTCTCGCTCGTAAGGTAAAATCATTTTTGTTCCATAATCTAACATACATTTCTTAGTGGTAAACAACAACCAAATTCTCTATCTTTTTTTTTTCTTTCCCCATGTGGTTTGTGTGCTTGATGTCAGTTTGCTTTTACCAGGAATTAGGCAGATCCTTCAACAAGATAAACTCAAGCTTCCATCCAAAACAGCACAAAATAAATGACCATCTAAGTCTTTAATTTTGAACTCTCTGTTGAAAATCTGTGGTAATCTGTGGCAAACCTACGAATATAAATGATCTTGAAATGTTCTGCATGGAAGAGTGTAAGCTCTTCTAACCTTGCTCAAAGGCTCTGTAATATGCTACCAAATATAACAGGGGTGCTAATCATTTTGAATGAATTATTTTCTAGAAAAAATGCACCACTTGAGAAAGCATTTAATATTTGAAAACATATTGTGTTCAAATGAATTATTGTCCTTATATGTTTAAGTGCAAAATATCACTCTTTATATGAGTTAATTATTTTTTGTGTTTTTTTTTTTTTTTTTTTTTTTTTTTTTTTTTTTTTTTTTTTTTTTTTTTTTTTTTTTTTTTTTTTTTTTTTTTTTTTTTTTTTTTTTTTTTTTTTTTTTTTTTTTTTTTACAAAATTTTAATCGCTTGAGCCAATAATTCTGGAGTTGAATTATGATTCTTGATTAACACTAATTGCTTGCTGGACTCTCTTTACTACTCTGTCATATAAAATATCACATCACTGGAATTTCATAGCATTTGTACAAGCATGTACAAGTTTATAATATGTAATATGGTTGCTGCTTTTATTCCAGGTATGAAAGTGGGGACACAGAATCCTCATTATATTCTCTCAGTGCCTAGAAGTCAGACAGTTACTGCAGACTGTAATCAGGAGACTGTTGCTGACACCTCTTCACACTGCTATGAGCATGCTGTCGAGTGTCTAGCCAATGGCATGTCCGGTGTTTTGTCGAGGTGCACTGGTTTGTTGCTGAGGAGGTCACGCCTTCAGTCACCAGCTGAGTCATTACTGAGCAGTGATGACTAAAAAAGAACACTAGTAATAGACAGAAGGTAAAAAAATAATGTTTACGCAGCCTCATAAATCTTTCAGCCTCATACATCAACATTATTATATAGTACCTTGAGGACTAGTGGTTAGGCCACAGTGCACTCACTGCTGCAGCCTGGGTTCAATCCCTGGCCAGGGAACCAACCCCAGCCACTGGCGTCGGGTGCAACAGTGCGTTCTCAGTGCCAGTCCCAAGCCCAGATAAAACTAGGGAGGGTTGCGTCAAGAAGGGCATCTGACCTAAAAACTATGCCAAATCAAATATGCGGACCAATGATCCGCTGTGGCGACCCCTAACGGGAGCAGCTGAAAGAGGAACATCAATATGATTATATAGTGACTAGAGGCTTGAGTCAGTGATTACCGTTCACGCAAGTGTGGTAAAGAAGGTGAATTTATAGTATGACTCAGATCTTTAGGCTAACACCTAATAAGTCTCAAGTTAGTTTCACAAAATTATTCAAAATTTATGAAATTAATTCAAAATTATGTAAATGGAAAGCCGTAGCATGTAAGAATGGACAAAGGTACAAAAAGGACTTATATGCAAAATTAGCGCTATAACAGCTGATAAGTTAAACCAAACTACAAGATATTACTTTTTTGCCAACAGTGTTAATCCCGTGTTTAAAATGTTCATTTAACATTTTTACATATTTTACATAACATATTAATTCAGAGGTTCTATTTAACAAACACTGTAAAAAATGTTGTAAATTTTACAGTAATTTGCTGGCAGCTTGGGTTACCAGTAAAGTACTGTAAAATTTACAGTAAACAATTATATAAAAAAAAAAATCATTAAAGTACTGTAATGTCATACATAATATAAAATAACACATAACCCAGTATACTTGCTCATTTGGCTGATCCAGAATACAGCTAAGGTCAAGGTTAAGCTCATGGTTTTGCCCAACCGTGACAGCTTGATGGTGCTAGGATTTGAGTCTTCTGATCTGTGACGGAAAGCCTTAACCACTGAGCATCCACAACTACACCAAAACAACATTGGGACGAGCTTGCATTGATTCAACTACTTCTATCAGTGAATTAACTCCACTAAAAGATTGCATTGAATCAATGCAAGCTAGTTGAGCTAGTTGTGGTGGCTCAGAGGTTAAGGTTTCAATTCACAGATAAGAAGGTATTGTGTTTAAATCCCAGCACCACCAAACTGCCTTGATTGGGTCTGTGAGCAAGACCCTTCAGCTCAGTTGTATCCTGCAATAACCATATGAGCAAATTTACTGGTTTATGTGTTATTTATACCATGTATGACATTACAGTAAATTACTGTAAAATCTACAGTATTTTGTTTTACAGTAGGAATATCAGAAGGCAAATCTTAAATTAAACAATACATATGAAACAATTTTAATCATATAATTTCAGACATTTATGGAGCTCAGATTTAAATGTTTTGATCCATGATATGAATTTGAATAGGGCAGCATTAAGAAGCAGTGAAAGAACCTAGAGAGTTGCAGTGATGTGGAAATTTCCCCAAGAGATGTATCAGTCACATAATTAGTATCGGCACCTCCTCTCTCGGTCAGGATACACCTGCTACCTCTGACAGTATCATTTCAGCTTTATGCAAATTGTGTCATTTCTGTCAGTCAGAACGTGACTATTTTAAATACTTTAGTATTATGTTGTAAGTGCCTAGGAGACACATAGAAGTGATTTATTAAGATAAAAGCTGACAAAAACTGTTTGTTTATTCACATCTGAAGGAAAAAAGATGGCACAAGCTGTGTCATTTAAAATCAATGGACACTTGTAGAGCATGTATACAGCTGCAGTAATCAACTTAATTGTAAATGAAACTGTAAATGTTTTGAGTATTTAACTGTACATTATACAGTAAATTAAAGTAAAATGTAATATCCATTTATACCAAATCACGGTAGATTACTTTTATTGTAGAGGCAGTGAAAGAACTCAGAAAGAGATGCACAGATGTGAAATTTCCCCAAGAGATGCGTCAGTCCCATAATTAGAATGAGCAACTCCTCTCTCAGTCAGGACACACCTGTATTATGCAAATTAGGTCGTTGCTGTCAATCAGAACATGACAACATTTGCAAGTCCAAGATACACTGAAGGTTTTTTTTAATATAGTAATATATGATTGGTACAAAGTCTCATTAACCAAATATGCATGACTGATTAAAAATCGAATTCAGTTCTATTCAGAATGTCTGAACATTGTGCCATTCTTTGGACATTGTGTTGCTTTATCACTATAATACAATCAGTATAATTTGTGTGATTATTTATATATAATCACACAAATATATCACTCCTTCTGTCTCCAGCCTCCGCTCACTCTTTACCTGTGTTCTTGTTTAAAATATTTGGACTCTACACGCATTAGCATCATGCTTGCAAGGCTTGGGGTGTTCATCTTCACTTTATCCTGTACAGACCTATGAAATACCATTCTGTATTCACTTTATTACAGGTAGCCTCAGTTTCTTATTTTTTTACTGAAATCTGTTGTGGTGACATTTTGTACTTTTTCTTCATAGATGTTAAATACCAGAAGGTTGTCACCCAGACACCGGTTTCACATACCGTGAATAAGGGAGACACGGCCACATTTACGTGCAATGTTGTAAGAGATGATGATGCAAGCACTAACTGGTACAAGCAGATTCCAGGAGGAGTTCCCCAGTATGTGTTAAGACATTATCTTGACTGAAGCACTCCTAAATATGGATCTGGCTTCTCTTCACCCAAATTTACATCTACGGGTTCATCTAAAATTGATTACAACCTAATAATAAATAATGTGGAGGTGGAGGACTCTGCAGTGTATTACTGTCAGACATATGACAGCACTGCCAAAGAATATGTGTCACAGTGATTCACATCATAACATTAACCACCTCACTGCTTACACTCGCATTTCTCAGCTGGCTGATAGAAAATGTTATCAATAACACCTTTCTTTCAATGGGGCTTATTAACAGAACACTGTGATATGGGACTATAATTAGATTTGAAGTGTGTGCTGAACATAGCCAGGAGAAAACTAAGCTAAAGTCTAGAGGATGTTTCAGTTCTTCTACAAACACTTCCGAAACTAGGGACTTTTTGTACTGGTGAGTTGGGTCAATTATTTAATTATTTCAAGTAATGTGGACTTACCAACTTTACTTGAAATGTCATTATAAAAGTAAGGTGAACTTACTTTTTCAAGTTGTCAGTACCAAAGTTCAAGTTCATTTAACTTAATGTGGCTTATTTTCTTAACTTACGTTAGCAAGTTCAACCAAATAAAAACACATTTTCCATATAAAAGACATCATTATCAATTGTTTCCCTAACAAATTAACAAATGTAAAGGACAGAACAAATAAAACATGTATAAACATCCAGAACGTCTGAGTAAATCTGAGTAAAAAATAAATCTATTAAAAAGTACCATTACAGTGAATCATGTACTCAAGTGCTATGCCAAAATTACACATAGCTTGTTACCTTCCATCTGTGGAAAAAGGCAAGACTTCAGTGACGGTGACTTGGCCTCAGCAGTATTCTTCGCCCTGTGAGTGCAGTGTTGCAGTGTCTGGGGATAAAGAATAAAGTAGTCTGGTGCCATTCACTCCAAAGGACATGTGCTAGTCTGCAGGATCAAGCCCTGAGCTCAGATACGTATCCCATAATCCTACAGGCATGTGCAGTCCCAGGAGCTCCAGGTTGTTTTCAATGTTCTTCCGCTTGAACTTTTGGATTATGGTTTTGGTGTAGTGGTTGAGGGCATGCAGGTTGAAAACGAGGTCAGGCCAAACTGGGGGAGAGGGAGAATGTGCAAGATTACCATTTATTAAATGGTCTAGAGTCATATAATTTCAAGCTGAATAATTTAAATCAATTAAGGGTTGTTGTTGTTTGTGTGTGTGTGTGTTTGTGTGTGTGTGGTGTGTGTATGTTTGTGTGTGTGTGTGTGCATGTGTAATAACAGTTTGGTGACACACTATCACCATTTCCAGTGCCACACAAGCTGTGCCATACTGAATTTGGTTATCCTTCTTCCCCAGGTCCCATGCAAGCTGAGCAGGGACTATTAAAATTATATTTAAAAAATAATGTAGACCATCAATCAAACACAGTCGAACAGATGTCGACTAGAAGGCTTGTAGTGACTGCCAAAATTTATTTATCTTTCCAAATGTCCTTTTTCTGGCATATTTAAGAGGCAACATTACAGTTTTAAACAGTTATTTAATGTTTCAGATTCATTTCTCTATAGTAAAACTTTGCTATTTAGATTGTTATTCAGAGAGTTTACATTTATTCCCCATACTCTAAGTAAAATCTGCCATAATCGAAGGCAAATCCACATTATTTACACCCTACATAGGATATAACATAATGGAACTGAACATCCTGCCTAGTGCCATCATGAGTGTAGAAAGACTTTTCAGATTCAGCCACAGACACAGCTCATACACAGCTTCTCGTGTATTTGGATAAGTTTTGGACTCAAATGTGTCTGTATGTTGCCTAAAGATTAAAATCTGGCACGCTTGTGTTTTGGTGTGTCTCATGCCTACTAGTTCATGTGACAGAAAAATGCTAATGTGCAAAAATGTGAACATCAAATGAGAGACATTTGGTTTCATTCATTCATTCATTCATTTATTTTACTTTTGATTAGTATTTCATTATTTGTACCTGCGAGTTATGTAGTGGGAAAGTGACACACAAGCCGCCAGGATAGGATAGTCCTAGCTTCCAGTATTGTTGAGCTGTGGGGAATTGTGCTGTTCAGTGAAGCGCTATAAAATATCATGATGACTTTGTCACCCAGTGTACATTAGGTATTACGGAGTCACATAATAGTGATGATGGTCACATACAGTGCCCTCCATTATGTTTTGGACAAAGGCTTTTTTTTATTTGCCTCTGCACTCCAAAGTTCTAAATTTGTACTCGAATAATTCACATGTAGTTATAGTCTCAGAATTTAATTTAATTTAATTTAATTTTTACATTGTAGTTTTACCATGTAGAAATTACAGCACTTTTCATACATGGCCCTCCCATTTCAAGGCACCATAATGTTTGGGACATAGGGTTTCGTGGGTATTTTTAATTACTCAAGTGTGTTTAATTGGTTCATTAGTGC